TGTTGAAGCAGGTAATATTGTTTTCTGGTTGAGCCCTTCTTGCCTCAGATAAAGTAACCACTGTTGAAGCAGGTAATATTGTTTTCTGGTTGAACCCTTCTTGCCTCAGATAAGGTAACCACTGTTGAAGCAGGTAATATTGTTTTCTGGTTGAACCCTTCTTGCCTCAGATAAGGTAACCACTGTTTTACTTATCTTGATTGACACAGATTCTTGTTCTAAACAATGTTTTCTGTGTCCAGTTAGAACTTCTTTGTGACTATAATACATGAACATAATCTATCGGAGGGGCTAAAAAAAGGCTGTTGCTACCTTATAATGAAACTCACTCCACTAATCTTGCTCTATCTTTGCTAACAAATTGGCTTGTGCAGCTGATACATCATGATAAAGTGATTATATGATGATGTCTCGTCAAAAATATCGTTTGACAATGGCAATTATCTGCTTATTTAATACTAAGACCCATACCTGTAAACAGTAACACAGATAGCTCGGGTCAACAAGTGATTTTATTTCACAGGATATCCCTGTGTTTCCCCTTGTCTCAGATGAATAAATTCCAGTCTCGCCATATCTCGGGAAATTCTTCATTTCTCTGAATTTGTCCAGTCTGGGCTCTTGCATGCTACATAAGCTCTGTTTTTCCACCATAAAAACTTCAATAAGCTCTGTTTTCCACCATAATTCAGATTTCTTAGTTGAAGTTGTGATGTAAACATCACATATCCCCCTTATGTGGGGAGACAGATAGGAATATATGTGAGTACCTTTTTAAAGTTTATTTTAACTAAAAAAAATCTGATAGATGAAATACTGAAATCTAGAATACCCACAATGAAAAGAAAGTGACACAGTTAAGATTATACGATATATATAAATCTACACTTTACAGGAAGGTAACAAGCTAGATTACATTACAGACACGATCATCCAGGTGTCTAGTAGTATCCACAACCAGAAATATTCAAATAACTGAAATCAAGGGTGAATGAGTGGAACAATTTTTAAAAAAGAAATTCTCAATCGAGTATCTGAAGCCCCTATTATTAACAACATAAAAATAGTGGTCATGTGATACCACAGTTGGTGGCATGAACAGGGAGGGGGGGTACTATGTCCTAAAACTGTAGTGGGAGGTTCTCAGAGAAGTAGAGCAGCCCCGCCCCCTCATCCATCTCTGAAAAGGCCAGTGAGTGATAAAACTGGCCAATTCAACGGGTGCTCAAGGAAAACTGAAGGAAAATCTAAGCGGCCCACGAAGGTTTAAATAAGTTTTTGTGGTGGAAAACAGAGCTTATGTAAGTTTTGTGGTGGAAAAACAGAGCTTATGTAAGTTTTTGTGGTGGAAAAACAGAGCTTATGTAAGTTTTTGTGGTGGAAAAACAGAGCTTATGTAAGTTTTTATGGTGGTAAAACAGAGCTTATGTAAGTTTTTATGGTGGTAAAACAGAACTTATGTAAGTTTTTATGGTGGTAAAACAGAGCTTATGTAAGTTTTTATGGTGGT